TTTTTCTATTGCTTATCTTATAATTTTAGTTCATTACTTATATATTCTTACAGATTATCCTCTTAATATTATTAAAATGAAAATTTAACTTTTTGAAATGAATTATTCATATAGTTACATAGTTACATTAAGTGTTGTTACTTTTAGAAAGTTGAATAGTTTTGATCCCTACATTATATAAGAAATTATATTTTACTTTACGATATAAAATATAAAACAAACCTTATCTATTTTTAATTATTAATAAAAAAATACTTATAATATATTTTACATAATAAGATATTAGAACTTCCATTCAATTATAGCAACTATATTAATTTTTTATGCCTGTGTTATAATACTTACTCGCATAAAAATTCAAGATGTTAACTAAAAGTTTTTATTAAAATTTGATAGAATTCATTCTAAAATGACAATTAGACAACTAATTTAAACAGTTTTATCAATCTAACATTGATCTAATCCATAATTTCTTAGTCATCAACTTTATGCCTTCTTCCATTTTCTTTCTATATTTACTTTCCCCTATTTTTCAACTTTACCCCATTATCTTCTTTCTCTATTAATTTTCTTTTTACAATACTTTTTCTATTTCATTTATTCCTTCATCTCCGTCACTTTTCTGATACGCTCAATCTATACTCTCTTCCTCTCCTTTTACGTGTTCGTCAGGAGTTGATTCTCAGCGGACGCTGGCAACGAATTTACTAGTTACGTACTAGAACTTTAAAATGGAAAAATCACGGATATACCAAAGTTGTACCTGTGATTATTCTCAAAGCTAAGCGAAACTGTTTCGTCTACCGGATTATGTGTCTACCGAAAATCGTTCATTAAAACAATTATTATTCATTAAAAAAAAATCTTTTTTACTTTTCTTGTAAAGATATATATATTCTTTTATTTAGACCAAATACATACGTGAATGTAAATATTTATATTGATGTTAGTATAATTCTAATATTGAGGCATCATGTGTGATAAATAAGGAATCTAGGTAGATAATTACAATAATTAAACATTTTTTGGGACATGTAATGAGCGAAGTAAAATAATTCTACTTTATAGTAGATTGATTTTTCTGTAATTATTATTTACATTTATTTGTTATTTAAAAATTTATGTTTTAAGATAGGTATCTAAAGTAGCAAAAAATATTGTTTTAATATATATTTTATCCTATATATATAACTCTAAATTAAATAAATTTCAATATTTAAAATTATTTTTAATTATTAATTATCAAATTTTCTGGAAATTAATTTCTGCAAGATATATTAGTATATATAGAAAATAAGTTGAAAGTATAAATCCTACACATATTCATAATGTTAATTTCACGTATTTATAATAAAAATAAAATTTTTTAATAATAGTACAATTTTTCTTTTAAAAATGTAATTATTGGCGTTTGGGTAGTTTAAATTACGATAGATTTTCTTAAACCAATTTATAAGCTTTTTCATATGATATTCTTGTTTAAGAGGAGAAATTTATAAATGATTTTATACCGTTTTAAAATAATAATAAAGATAAAATTATTTTAATAATATTACTTTTAAAAACTAGGCAATGAAATTTCATTCGCTGCTGTTGTAATTTAAAAATCATTTTAAAAAAGTATATTCTAAATTAAGCGTATGAAAGAGGAACTTTAAAAATGATTTACAAAAATTGAAGTAATTTAATATATTATGATTTTCAGAGAATTTTCATGATATTTATTTATCCTGTCAGACAGATTAAACGCACCTTATTTATATTCTATACCATTATTTTGATAAAACAGTAATTATAAATTTTTTAATATAGAAAATAAATATAAGAAGTGAATATATAAGAAAAATATTTTAATAATATGAAAATTGTATGTAATCATTTTTTATTATTAAAAAACATTTTCTTTTAATATTAACAAAATTAAATATTTATATTCTGTCTGGTTTTATTTTTTTAATTTACTATATTGTATATAATAATGCAAATAATGTTCTAATTCCAATTTGTTATATATTTTTAAGCACAATACACACACACTCACACACATGCATGTTGGCATGCATACATAATGAGACAATGATATAGAAAATATCTAACTATAGAAAATACCTAAATATAGAAATATAGAATATAAAATAAATATAGAACCAAACAAATCAGAATCTTGTATACTTGATAATGCTTGTAATGAATATTTGTAATAACGTGTTCACATAATACTTCATATAAATGATTTACAACAATTAACGATTCAGGTAATTATTACACCATTCTCTGCTTGCCATACTCTCCCTTTGTTGATTTATGCCTGTGCTGTTGCTGTTTTGAATAACACAAATATAGTTTCGACCGAATCCAATTTTCCACTGCACAATAGAAATTAACCTTAACAGCTGATAAAAAGTTTAGTAGGATCTCGACATCTAAGCTTACCGTTCTTTGTTAGCGTGAGAACTCTTGCATTTTACAGCTGAATATCTATCTAAATACTGGCAATTTAAATGCTTTAACCTAACATATAACTGAGAGCTCTTACATATAGTGCTATTAAGAAGCAATTCAAATCAGCTTCCATTTAATTTTATCCGTACATTGCCAAGGTATTTCAAATGATATACATAAGTGTACATTATACGATTATTGCTGTTTCAACAATTAAATTTGATTAGTATAAGTTTCACGCTTAATTCAAGTGTATATTCAAATTTTAAATTTAGTTAGATAAATGATCATCCTTGTAAGTCTTTGTATCATTATCAATATTCTTCGATGTGCTAAATGTTATTGAAAGTCATTTTTCACGCATAGTTTAACTTGAAATGTTAATTGTATTTCAAAACAAAGTAATTATTAATTGATCGTTTGATATTATTTGCTATTTGGTGTATAGAAATATTATAATTTCTATAATTATATAATAAATTAAGAAATATTTTTTAATAAATCAATCTATTTGTAAGATGTGTTCATAAAATATTTTCTTCACATAATAAATTATCATATTTATTTATTTTATAATGTTAATATCGAGTTTTTATGTTATTTTAATAGAGTTTCGTATTAAAAGTAATTTGTTTTTAGAAAAAATATTGATACAAGCATAAGAATACTAATTAAATAAACAAAATTTTTAAAAGAAATTTTTGTGAAATTTTAAGAAAGAATATTTTTAATATTTTCTACTAAATAAATATCAAGATCATAAATTTGTATTATTTTCATAATTATAATTAAGAAAGGTGATTGTGTGGAGTTTATTAGTTTATAAATATAAATATTAAAAATTTTATTATATTATTTCAGTTAAAAAATTCAAATATTCGGTTAAACATGTATATTTAGGTATATTAATAAACTTTTATTATATTAAAGATTAAACTATCATTCAAAAATATATCATTAATTTTTTTATTTATGTATAGTGTTATATTTACGAAATATTAATGAATGATTTTTTTATTAATTTTATTATTTTATAATATTAATTATATTAATTATTAATATTAATATTAATAAGTAATATTCAGATGTAATTATAAAGATTGTCTAGTATACATTGTAAAAATATTTCACAATTAGAGAATTACTCGGTTATTACTGATATATTAGTCTTCATTAATAAAAAAATTTTCATTTTTGATATTCGAATTTTATAGTATCATAATTTGTGTTTGAAAATTCTCGAAGTGTTTCTACTATTCTACTAAATTTAGCTATTTATTACTTAAAAAAACCCTTATTGCAATGCCATTAAACGAAATGACAAAGTTATATTTTAAATCATTTTTTCCTTCTTATAGATTTTCAATATAAGAATATAATTAGAAATTCCGAACGGATATTAAATTGCCTTGATAAATAAAAAACATTAGAATAATTGAAAATTATTTTAATCCTTACTATATAAATAGCTTTTAATTGTGTATAGTGATTGCAACAAGTCAACATTGCAAATGAAAGTAGAATACGCATTATACATGTTACGTTTAGCAGAAAGAAGTTGTAAAATATGTTTTACTCGATATTACATGATACTTATTAATAAATGTAAAATAGCTTTGAAACAGCACTATCCATTATAAAATTAGAACAATGTTACAATAAATATGTTTCGAAAAATCTCAAGAGAGTTTAAATGACTTAATATGAAAGACTAGTGGTCCTAAGGTATACTTTAAGTATGCAACTTTATAGTGCTGAAGTACAAGAGTAGCATTCCATAAATGAAGTTATAGAGAAGAGCTATAAACAATATGAAGTACTTCTATATTTTAGTCCGTATACATATGAATTTAGAGTTGGGTTGTAAGCCTGCTCAATACGAACAATAAACTGTATTCAACGGAGGATATGTTAACATATTATATTCGTTGGTAATTTTGTTAATTTACAGATATAAATGTATTTTTATTTGAATTACTGAAATTTTAATTCTATGTTTACCCATTATGACAGACAATTTCGGCAGTATATACTTAATAAAAAATTAAATGTTTATTATTTAACTCCTATGTTATATTTAAGTAGGTCTATTATTTTTATGGTGTTACATAATTTAATGTTTTTTTTTCAGTATCAGTAATTTGTAACAAAAAAAGACATTGTAATAGGAACAATAATGCATTCGGATTTGGGAAACAGTAATATATTGAATTACTCAAATATTAAATTTATATTTCTGTTTTGTTTTTATTGTAGTTATATTTTGGAGCACTAAATCGTTTTTCGTTTATGTGTTAATTATATTTAAGTTTTGAATAATAGTAATCACTTGCTACAGTCTTAACCTGTTATTATCGGTTTATAAATTTTATTATTCTCGGACAAACAATCGATAGACTACTTACTTGCCTTTTGACTCACTATTTTTAATCTTGCTTCTTGTGTTTTCATAAAAGTGTTTTATAATATGAAATTAAAACTAAATAATAAGAAAAATTTAGTTTATAATGACCTCACAACGAAATTATAATATTTATTAAAAAGGAGGTGTAACTTACAAAACTGAATTCCATGACTTTGAGCAGCCACAGGGTGAGCGCGAGATTAAGTATGACAATAATGGTAAGTCCGAGAACCAAAAAGTACAGGCACCGTTGTCTCCAACCATAAACACCGATTCTTAGACCCTTATTGTACGAAGGTGTGTGGCATTCATTACTCAAAGCGTTTGTCCGCGTTCTGGTATGTGTGGATACAGCTTCCACCGCTTGGCAATTTCCACTTTGTCTTGGTATACTGCACGAATTACTAGGTTCATCCGACCAATTTGATTGACTTCTTGATAATCTAAAAAAATATGAGATTGAAGTTTTTTGTACATATTTTAAACATTATTATAACTTATGTTTTGGTTACTGTTTCATGAGGAAAGCTTATAAGAATGTAATTTAATCATTGAATTCTAATAAATATGATATAATATTTTGTAAATGTGATATAACATTATATAAATATTATTTAATAATCTATTCAATTATATCAATATTAATTCTTCATTTAATTATAATTAGTATTACTAAATTAAGAAAATATAAGAATAAACTTTTTGTTGTAATTATTGAAAAATTCGATGAGAATATTATGGGAAGACTCAGTCATAAAGAGAGATGATGGGCTAAAACAAATTTTTTGTATTACTCTAAAAAGTATTAATTTATTGTCGCAACAAAAATGTCATGATTATCTTTTTATTCATTTTTCTATTTTGAGGATTAAGTATTTAATATAAGTAAATTACTTTATTAACTTCAGTGTAATTGTTGTATATTTAAGATCATATCAAGTATATGATTTTAAATACAGAATTTACACTAAAATTGTATCTGTATTGCAGTACTAATTAACTCAACTTTTTGAGAAAATGGAAATATACTATAATCAAATTTATTACAAAATTACATTTTATCTAGTTAACAACAATATTTGCTTAATTTGCATAATTATATTTACACTTTACGTTTCAATAATCAATTCTAGTCCGAACGAAAGTAGCAAATTACAAATATAAGTGGATAAATAAATAAATAAATAAATATACTATATTCTTTCGGCAATCTTTAATATTTAATGTAAAAAAGAGAAACTGTATTATATATTCAACTTTATATCTGAATTCAATGTATCAATTTAGATTTATTTTCCAAGAAGATGTACGAAAGTATTTCACATAACTAAAATATTTTTTAAATGCAGTTCTCATTCGTTAAATGTATGCCAATATAACTACTATAATATTTATAACCATGATTAAAGCAAATAGAATTTATTTTGTAGTATAGAATATAAGTTTAAATAGATATAACTCAAATATAATAGTAAAATCTATAACAAATAAGTAATTAATAAAATAAAACTTGAAATTCAATATTATGATTTAAATTTCAATTATTGATATAATTAATAGGCATTTAATTTATGTCGCCATTAATAATTCCTTTAACAGATATTTTTACTTTTAAAATGGAAACATTGATTTTATTACACTAATTAATTACAATAACTAATAATAATAGTGAATTCGATTATTTTTAAATTATATTATTTTTATAAATGCTTAAATCCTAGTTGGAAGAGTTTATTGTAAATTTCAATAAATATTTTTTATTTTATAGGTATAGAATATTTGCAATAATTTCATAAGAATTTATAATATTCTTTAGAATTCAGATTTATTTTATACAATTACATTTAAAGATTTTTATCTATCAAATAAAAATTTATTTAAATTTAAGCATAATGGTTTTATAATTGAAATAAGCAAAAATAAATAATAAAGTATGGAAATATGAAAGTTAAATATAAGATGTTCCGATATTAAAATGTTGATACAAAAATTGTTGAAATATTTTTCAATATATCAAACGAAATAAATATTATTTATTTATATTTAAAATTTAATTTTTAAAAACTGGTGATATAATTATTTACTATTTAATATTCTATATTAAATTTATTACTTTAACGTCCATTTTAAAAATAAGATAATGATAATAGAATATTTTAATTAGATTAATAAAATTATGTAAGATTCGAAATAGATATATTAAAAATTTTGATATAATTTTTCAAATTATAAATATTTTTTAAATCTTTAAATAATGTGCGTTTTATTTATGATAATTCGTTTTACATTATATTGGTGATTAAACGATATATTATAGGGTTATTGAAAAAAGAAAATAAATGTATGATTATTGTAGTTATTGTTTAGTTTAATTTTTATTCCTATTTATATTAAAAATTAAATACAAGAATATGACATTTTTCAAGTGACGCTAAAATAGTAATTTACTTTATATAGAATTGTATTGCTTATTAAATATTTGATCAATAATGTTACTAAAAACTTTTGAAACTTGGTTTTTGAATCAATGAAAGTAGAAGAAAATAAATATGAAAATATATTTTATATTAATTTAGACTTGAAATCATATTATTTGCAATTAGAGAGAAGAAATACAGACATTCTTGACAAAACTTGGTGATATAATCTAAATTAAAACTAGCTTAGTTTACTTGGAAAAAATCAGATATATGTTTCTAAATAATACGTCAATTGCTATTACTATATTTGCTATAATTATATTATACATAATATTTTAATATTCCATATAATATAATTTGATTTCATTTTATATAATGCGAGTTATAATATTATAATTTGAAATTAGATTAAACAAGCTATTATTTAAATTTTATTATAATTATTTAAAATATATAATTTTAAATTCAGATTTAAAATCAGTTAAAGAAACGTTTGTAAATGGTAATATCATCCCTTATTTTTCTACGAGTTTGAAAGATATTTTATACAGATAAATAACTGTCGTTCTTCCATTTGTAAAAATATGCATAAACTCTATAAAGATGCTTGTCATGGGAAGATATTTTTATCATGTGATTCTCTGATATTTTGGATATGTTGTCATTAGTGTCAGAATTCGTGGAGGTGATGCAGCTTGCGTTGCCTTAGGGGTCTCGAAGCATGATGAAAGAAGAAAGAAATAGAAATGAATAAATTCGTATTTCAAATTGGAAGTTATTTAGTATTGACTTAAATAAATTATTCGTTGTGATTCTTCATACTTGCATTGTACTTATGCGGACTGCATGCAAAAGAAAATAAGATAAAGAAGTATGTATCTGCCCGTTGATATAATTACCTCGACAATTTACAACCGTAGCATTTCGATCCTTCATGAATACATTCGTCTCCACTGCATCTCGTAAATTTTGTTCTACAATATTTTTGTCACGGACTGTCATTTGAACACTCTGTCGAACCTCTATTCGATAAAAATTTTAGCTTTTCGAATTAGATTCTATATATTTCGGTATGATAGCTATTAAAAGAGAAATTCTTTGGGTTATCGCATACAAAAACTTTATGAAAATAGAAAATTAAATTTTCATCATAAATTAACATGGGATAAGATTACGGGAGCTAGTCGATCGCTTTAGAAAGATGTGTAATATCGGACCATTCTCGTATCACATAAATTGCAATAATCACAAAATACATTGACCAACCACAAATCTTGTTGTTGGTTTGTTATAAATAGGTTACACAATAAGGTACTTCACAGTATGTGTAAGTGATATTTTTAATCACATCATAGATATCATTCAAAGAAAATTTTAGTTTAAACGCAATTTTCAGCACTTTTATCGTAGATTTTATCAAATCTTCGTTAATTATTCAAAGAATTTTAAAGGACTAAAGACAAGTTTCTATAATTATAGATTATGAACTCGATTCTAGCAAACTTTTTGCAAGTAAAAAGTACATGATATTTAAAATGCTAAGTCCACTCAAGATAAAGCATTTTAGTTTTCAACGAATTGATAGAATCATTACGAAAATTGTTAGTTAAGAACTGTTCATCGACTATATAAAGAAATATAATATACAAATATATAAATATTATAAATAGTATATTATATACTATATTAAACTATTATATAATAGCCACTGTATGTTTTCAAAGTTGTTATCACTAAGATTTATAACGAAACCGAAATGTCTGCGCTAAATAAATACACTAATGCTAGTTTTAGAATGAATCTTATTCTTTCTTATATTACGAATCAATTAAACTAGTATGATTTTTATTTTAAATTAATATTACTGTCTTTTAGCGCCATAAAATGAAGTAAATTTCTTTTACATTATAAAATTTTGTTTCAAATTATCGAAAATATTTCCGAGAGAAACTTCATAAGGAGTATATATCATTAATAAAGGATAGATATTTTTTTGTCAGATTTTTTGTTATTTTTTGATAGGTATATTTTGTTTTCTGATTATATAACAAGAATTTCATCTGGTTAGACTAGATAAGAGACGAGAAAGATAAACTGATTAGACGAGCTATACTCTTCAATTTTAGGATGAACACACGAACTTAGTGGAAAAAATGCGCTTTCGAATATTTTTTCCATCACCCAAGGAATGAGACATAAAATGATGTATATGGCTTTCTTTTACCATTGGAACTATATGCTGGTTATAGCATACGAGAGCTAATCTAAAAATATTTTATTCGAATATGGACTAAGAGATTTTAGAGAATGAAATGTTTTCTAATTTGGATGGAAATCAAGTTTCTTCATTTCAATGAACAAAAGAAATTATAAAAATGTAGATCCATTTTAAAAGTAAAATGATTCATCTGTAATGCAGCATAATTTTATTTTAATTAGATATTAGATTATCAATTAAGAAGTAAGTAATTGGTATTTGTAGATCCGTTCTTTTGTATAGGAATGAAACTGGGTATTTCATGAGGCAATTATTGAAACATACGTCAGTCAACATCGTAATATTGGAGATTCAGTTTCCTTTGTATATAGAATGCATTATATAGGTATTGGTTTTTTACGGTACAATGAGTTATTTAAATTTCTAGAAATTTTAATCAAAATAGGGTATTTATTTTATCCCTAGTTTAATAAACGATAAAATAAATATGCTAACATAAAATTTGAATTATATAAATAATTTAGTTTCATATGGAATACATGATTCAGTTAAAATTTATAAACGCATTTTAAAGGTTTATCAACTCAAAATAAATTAAACATAATATTTTAAAATTATAGCACCCGTCTAGTTAAAATTTTTTATTCAGAATTCGAATATTATATTTAATAAGAATATTTAATTTGTTTGAAAATCATTTCTATAAAGAAATTTAATTTTAAGAAAGTCAATATAAAGAACTTAAGTATTTTGTCATCAAGATGATCAAATAATTATAATAATAAAAAAATGAGTCGGAATTGGA